AATATTTGCTTTTAAATTAAGAAATGAAATTGAGTAATATATAGTACTAAACTTTGATACCAAAGTTATTGACTTATTTATTCAAAGTTATTGAAATAGTAGTTCAATAAAATCTTAAATGCAAGTCAACAAACAAGATGACATGGCCTTTCACCTGTGACCCATCTCGAAAGGGTTAACATCCCAATCCAGAAGGACAGCAGCCAAGGTGGACGACTCATCCAGAAGAAATGCAACAAGAGGGAAAGGGTAGGAGAGGTTAAAAACTTTATGGTACCGGGAAAAATGAAAAGTGTGGAATAAGGCAGCCCAATAACCCACAATCGAGGAAACCTTATCAAAGATCCAAGTGAGGAAATACATAATATGAGGAACAGTGGGCCTAGAGGGTGAAAACACCTGACCCAACAACCAACGGTGGAAAACGTCCCACTTATGTTGATAAACATTCCTAGAGAGGGGTGAATGGAACAAGTTAACCAAAAAGCAACCCGCTTGGACAAACCAGATTTTCTTGCCAAGGACTAGATAAAAAACAGGCATGAAGACAGAGGATATGAAGGGCTGGATGAAATGCTAGTGACCAAGGTTGAGGTAGAAGGGATAGAGTAAGAGGATGAGGTAAAGAAGAGGCAGATTAGAGCTGGAGCAGCTGTAGGTACCACAGTTGCACTGGCCAATAAGGAGAAATCAGAAGGACTTGACATGGAGTAGCACCCAGTGAAAAAGATGAATGGGAGGATAAACATACAGGTATTTGTTGGTCCAATCTTGAGTGAAAGCATACACAGCAAGGGCAAGAGGATGAAGAACTAAAGACCAAAACAGTGGTAATTTGATATTGAGGGATGTGGTAAATGCATCTAGGTGAGGAGTACTCCACTGAAAAACATGAGAATCGAGAGACCACTCTTTCAGATAAACTTTGTCTGGATAGGAAAGATTGAATGCATCTGGAACATGACACACAATGATAGGAAAACCAAGCATGTGGGCCCAAAAAAAAGGAGATCCAAGGTCCGACCAAAATGAGAATGAGTGCTGCCTTGGTGATTGAAATAAGCCACCATTGTAGAATTGTTGGAATGGATCATGACTAGACGATTCCTGGCAAGATGAAGAAAAGGATCCAAGGCATGATGCACAACCAGAAGTTCCAGGATATTGATATGGTAAGATCTTTTGGCCAGAGACTACTAACCTGAAGCTTCCTGTTGATCGACCCATGCCCCCAGCCCATAAGGGAAGCATCCATGAAGATATATAAAACCAGACAAGCGGAGGAAGCAGAACACCTGCCGTCATGAGAGTCTTGTCCAACCACCAATGTAGATTGTCTATAAGGGAAGGAGGAAGGGAAATAGGAGTCTCCAATGGATCCTGTGCAAAATTACACTAGCCGTGAGAGTCCACTGAAGAAATCACATATGTGCTCAACCCAAGAGGATAAGGGCTATCATGAAAAACCACATCTCCAAAAGCGATAGAACCTCACGAGCTGTAAGAGAGGGAGCAGTAAGGGCGTGGAGAACTGAAAGTTCTATCAAATGAAGTCGAAGAGGAGAAGGATGGGCCCAACTGAGATGAGTGTTGAAAAAGACACACAGATGGACAAAATATTGTGTAGGTACAAGGAATTACTTCTCCAATTTGAGCACATATCACCATTACACAGTTAAGGTTTTTTAATAAACATTTGAAGTTTCAGCATGTACCTCAAAACAAACATTGTTGATGCTCTCATGATATTTTATCACACAATTTCAAACCATAAAACTTTTGTACTTAGCAAATCAGGACATTTAAGTATCCAGTATTAAAACATATTTATAAGTTGCAATCAATCATACTTAACCAAGTAAAATTATTTTCTTATCATTCTTTTAGCGACTAGAACTTTCTTATATATGTAATTAAGTCTATTTTCAAAATAACAAAACATAAGTTTTCTACATTTGTTTTATTACAATGTTAACAAAATTATTTGACTTATTTCTAGGTTTGAAGTGCACTCACACCACATAACTAAGAGAATTTTAATAACTGTATTGTGTACTTTTTTTATTCTGAAGAACTTAAGACTAATATTACAAACTTGTGATGGCTCTGTCAATGAGATCTCGGACTTCTGGAAGTGTTTCATCAATATAAAAGTCCAGATGTTGTGCTGTAACCCAACCGAGGCGTTGAATCCACTTTTGGATGGCTAGGTCATTTTCTTCATATTTTGAGGAGAAATGGGTAAACAATACTTTGTAAAGCCTTGTCAACAGATATTTTTCTGTGAAGTTCATTAGTTCTTCAATGTCCTCCTGGCTAGTATCTGCATCGGAAAGTATCGAGATTATGGTATTTATTTTTATTTTTGACAAAACTTCATGTCAAGATTACTATAGTAAACTCCAGAGCTGCCAACTTTTGAAAAGAAAATATTAATGCACAAGCTGACCTGGCAGGTACACAGTCGGGAATAAGGATGTTTAGAATGTCAGTAGTTTTGTGAAGTACTTAATTCACTACAAGATAGTTCATCAGTGATCACACTAGTCGGCAACCATGTTGTAAAAAAATATGCATACATGGAAGATAAAATGTAAATACATAAGCAAGCATATTTAGTACTCTAGAGGTTTTTTCAAAATGTATTTTATTGCTGTATATTTCTGAAAGTTCTAAGTGCTATACTATGCTATGTACAGACATGTTTGTGTGAGAACTGTGATTGCATAGGTCTATTTTCTTAATGGCAGACAAGTTGTTTCCTTGGTTTTTTTTATTCATTGGAAGTGTATGAAATTTGGTGGGAATGCAAGCCTGTGCTTTAGCTTTTGAGTAGCATGACCAAATAAACAACTTAAGTAAAAACAATAAAAAAACCAAGCAGTTCATTTGATTTGGAGATGTTACATGCACATTCCAAAGGTTTTATCTTGCTCCTTTCTTATAGGATCTTTTATTACAGAGATCACTACCAATTTTTAAAATTTACCCCAGATCATTTTTCATTGGCTTCCATGCAGATGCAACATTTTTAATACTTGGAGTTATAAATGTACAGCCAGATCCATTGCACAATATTTGTATGGATTGCTATTTTTTCCATAAGAATTGGCAGGTCTGGTAAATTCAATCACAAAATACACCAAATATGATGTTAACTGACAGTCTTATCCATTCAGGCCTGAAAACAGAATGAGCATGGTATGATAATCTACATTTCCTAATTTTTAGCACACTGCAGAAACAATGCCTCCTCCCAAAACAATTTTTAAGCACAGGGTTTTGAAAAAAAACAAACGCATTACTACCAAACAAAAAATACAGAAGTCACACTAAAGCAGCAAAATTTTAGTGTCAATACATAAAATATGGTGCATTCAGATAAAAAACAACTAATACATGAAAGCATCACCTACATTTCTTTTAATAAATTGGTTTGAATTCTTCCAAACACTCACCCATCCAGCATTTTTCATAAGAAAATATAAACAGATCAGCCAGTACTGATGCTAATCTAGACCTCACACGAACTTTAGCTATCTGATCATACATCTCATAATTAATATAGTGTGATATCTGGTCCTAATCTCGATCCCATAACACCTCTGTTTATTTCATCATGCATCTCCATTAAACACAGTGTGTGAATGTTTTGTAGCTAAGTCCAATACTTTCAAAATATTTATCCAGAAAATCTATCTTGGCTTTCATTATTACAAACAAGATTAACTAAATCATGTGTTTCAATATAGGTATATTTGCAAATAGGGAGTTAGCATCAAAACAAGCACTATCCTCAAAATTTAGATTTTATAATTGTTCCAAAACTGAAAACTGTCTGAAATAAGTAAATTAATTAATGCTTAATAAATTGTGATATAAATTAAGTACTGGCATTATTATGAAAAATGTTGGATGAATTAGTGTTCGAAGTATCAAATAAATTTATCATAAAAGGTATGTAGCTGAGACTTATTGTTTCCAAACAGAAAGAAGATGTACAAAAATTAAATAAAATATTGTTCTTGTTAAGCTTGCACAGTCTTTGCACCAAAACATAACTAGGAAGTAGTTTAAGTTTGTGATAAGCCAGTATCAAAATAAAATCAGGATATGGCAACTCCCAATTATTTGATACCCATGGTGGGTGCAGCACAGATAGCTTAATGCTTAATTACAAACAAACAATCATTTTAAAAGATCAAGTCATGGTACAGACTAGCTTATACAACCTTTAATTACTTATTTTATGAAAAGTTGCCTTTATTATGCAAAATAACAAGTCACTATTTTTGTCTTTAAATACTGTTTTAAAAATTATTGTCATGATTAAACACTTGAAGTAAGTTTTCTACAAAAGATGAGAGGCAAAAAATCTTTGAAACAAAGATATACAAAGTTTTATCAACAATTCATGAAATAAGGGTCTTGGAACCTTCATTTTAAGAAAATTGTATTCATACTGAAAACATTTTAAAGACAAATTTATATAAAAATATTCATTTTTCTTAATATCTAACATGCACTGAACTGTAATTCTCAATTACCAACTTGTTTCCACACAATTCATTACTGGAGGGGCCAAATAATGCTTCAAAAAGTTGGGTGAAATCATTCACTTTTTTTATGCAAAAATACTCAAGGGACTACAGCAGTAATTACTTGCAACCCCGATGTTTTTTTTTTACATAACATTCATATGTGACTCGTATGTTATTAGGGACACTGTAACCAAAATTCATGGACCTACAAACAATTTGAGGTACAAATAGTTTTTCTTTAATCTGATTAGGTCTATTTATAGGTAATTCTAGGGTTAAAAACACATGATTTGGGTAATATAATTTGCATTTTATTTACAAAAGACGTGTAATTGAATAACCAAATATTTGTACATCACTTCAGGAAGAAAAGCTTTGATAAAACCTCAATAAATGTGTTTGAGATTAAACATGGTGTACATATACTGAAGCTGATACTTCTCTGCTTACTAAAGAACAAGCCTTGATCTTAGTTCACATGAAGTGAAAGTTGCATTTTTGATGAGTTCAAGGTTCACTTTCACAGCAGCATGACAGATTTCCTTGACCCAGATTACTCTACAGTGAATGATATCAATTCTAATCACTTTTCTCTATCACACTTCTAAATGCAGATAAAAAAAGTGTATGATGAAATGGTAAATGCTCATGCTCAATGAAATACAGAAAATGTGTACATGTAATTCATAAAGCACTATCAAATACATAATGGGAGAAAAAGATAGCAAAATCCACACTAAGTATGCTGAATGGTGAACAGCAAAAACACTTGTTTTCCAGCTTTTATTTTTCCTTTCCCAACACCTAATTCACTACTTAATATTATAGTTGACTATAAGCAACATGCAGAGAATTCATCCAATAATTTTGTACTGAATATTTTCTTATTTTTCTTATTTTTTCTCACACATTGTCGATGCAAACATTACAGGCAAACAAGTACCAAATTATGCAGCCTAACTAAGCACTAAACTTTACCATCAGGAAGATTTTACAAATTATATTACAATTAAGATTTTTCAAATTGTAAAATGAAATAACAAAACCACAGAATTAGGTTGAAAGTTAAATGAAGA